AGTCTCACTATTCTAGACCACCTACAACAGTGTATGCAACTACTGCTGAAGGGTAGGTCTTTTGCAGACTCAACACAAAATGGAGTTGCCTCACTACCAGTAAAACCTTGTGGCTCTGGTTAGTTCATGTCTGGTGTTCCTTTTCATCTGAACATGTTTTGCAGAAAAGCTTCGACATGTCTGAAGTCACAGTGCTGGCTAGAAGAGACACATCGTTACTATCATTATGACACTAGAGATAAGGTCACTGCAGAACTTGTGCTGATATCACTAACTTCAGAGTTGATGCACAGTCTTGCAATTTCAGTGTGTTTTGCAATTATTTTGCTAATATACATTCCTATTGCTTATACTTTATTGACTCATCTATATCCTGTGAAGTCAGAACTAAGATTATATTGCAATAAATGTATAGTGTGCTGTTTCAGCTTATTTGCTCAGAGGAAATTACATGGCCATACAGTTTCTTGGAAAAGAAACCTGACAGAATGTTCTGGAGTATAAAAGGGGTCATGCGTTCCTAAGTAAATTTGTCAAAGTTCTGGCGCAACCTTTTAATGTTTTAGAAACAATGAATCTGGGCACATCTATGTTGTTACACATTAGAAAACACCAAGCACAATTTCAAGTATTAAAAATAGATGAAGACATTGTCTTTAGAGAAATCACATCTGTCATTCCTCCATTTATGCAGAAGTGCTCTTGAGCAGAGATCCTCACTGGCAAAGCTTACTGGTTCAATGGCAACACAAATGTCAGACCTTGATAGGCTCCTCCACGTTATGCAGCAGATAGACGAAAAATATAAATAACATGGCAACACAAATGTCAGACCTTGATAGGATCCTCCACGTTATGCAGCAGATAGAGAAAAAATATAAATAACCCCAGAAAGTCTAGGTGTTCGTTCGACCCGGAACGTCTAGGTGTACCATACCATAAAGCTCTACTTGCCCTTATCTTGTATACTAGTGTTTCCTCTCTACAGAGAACCAAGTGATTAGAAGGATGGATGAAGTTAATTATACTGCTACAACTTGTTGTTATTACTCCTGCTACACAAGTAATTAAGAGGGTATGCCTATCTTCCCCTTTAGTTACAAGCACTAGACTAAACTAGATACAGTCATTCAAAGAGTTAATGTACTATTGAAGACACTGACTCCTGAAAATCTACAAATCGGAGCTAAAGTTTCTTAATCGATATTCACAGTCCATTTCCATAATCACTGAAAGCAATAATAAGAAGAAAGTATGAGCAAAGGTAAACATACCAAGATTTTGGAAGCTCTCCAGTAAGTGGCCAAGTTATGCAAGCATATCTGAAAAAACAAAATGAAACAAAAGCCCTTAGAGATTAGTTGCTGTGTTTTAACAGTAGTTTTTTGTGGATCAAAGTAAGTGGTCAAGGAAGTGGACTGAGGAAATGGACTTAACCTACAAAAGCTCACATTAAAATATAGCAATCTTATGTCTGAGGAAGTGGACTTGTCCATGAAAGCTCACATTAAAATATAGCAGTTAGTTGGTAAGGTACCATGTTTTTGTCCTCTCTTTTATTTTTATTTTATTTTTGTCCTGATCAAATATAGCAGTTAGTATTTAAGGTATCACAATGTTTTTGTCTTTTGTTGTTTGTCCAAGATTTTGGAAATTACTGTTAAGAAAATCTTGCAATAGCACCCAGAACATTTAATTAAGCTAATGAGAAATATGGGTGATAGTATCAATGTGACTTATTTACTTCCCAGATAAAATCTAGTTGGAACCTAATTTGCTCTTATGAAATAGTGTCTCACACTTTGAATGAAAAATTAGCATGCTTATATAACATGTTTTTTTTCTCCTAAAAGAGAAAAAGGTGTTTGTTTTTAGCCATCGAATAGGTACAGTTCAGTTTTTATTATTGAACTATGTAATATTTGAAGATTTATGTAACAGTTGTATTTGAATATCATGCAAAAAACCCCACATGGCAAGAATCGTGTATATCTTGCCTATATACTGGTATCAAAAGACTGTGAAGACAATTCTCTACAAAAGAAAAGGAATGAGAAAGGAGTGTTTCACATGGGGTTTTTCCCACCGGATGAGCTGCCTTGCAACTCATCATACAAACTGTCCCCCCTCATGAGAATACAAGATCTCCAAAAAAGGGTCAAATGAAAGCAAAGGTGTGTTTGACTGCCACTTCTCTCTAATCAAATCCCTTAACCAGTAACATCTGAACTGTAGAGACAGCATTTACCTTTTACCTGAGCACCATGGGGACTTGGGAAATGCCCTGCTGAAGAGCAAGAAATCATGGTTATCCAGCTGCCCACATTTGGAACAGCTGACTTGCACACATATATTTACCACTGAATGCCCACAGCATGATAACAGGGATCACCAAAGTTGAAACTCTATAGATTTCCATATCCTATAGGACAGTACCATATTTACATTGTCTTCTACACTCAGAAGAGCTTAGAGACACCAACAGTTAAAACACAGTGGGTGAAGTCCTGCTGAGCAGTTTTGCCAGCCCAAAAGTGATGACACCAGCAGCACCAGCAAATAACACTGATTAAAGGCTTCCTTTCATGATTCTGGGACACACATGGCTTCATTGCATTGTATAAGAAACATTGCCTTTAATTGGCAGCAATTTGGTAGTGATGTCTAGTGGTTTGGGAAAATGGAAGCTCGCTATGATTCAGTCTGACAGAACCATCTTCTCATGTCAGTAGAATTTCTTCCATGTGGTCTACTTGGGTTTTTAAGAAAGTAAAAGCTAACATTTGAGAGGAACTTTCAAGCAGTTATTTGGGTAAATAATTTTGCATTCTAGATTCAGTGGGCTATCCTTTATACAGTGCATTACTCTAGGTGTGGAGGAGCACATTTTTCTTGTCCCACTTCATCTTCTGCTCCATTTAGAACTGCATCTACACTCCTGACATGTTAAGAGCAAGAAAGCCAAATAAAGAAACTTGTAGATTAAACTAATTGAAATGATACCATCTTTATGAGTGAAGGAATAAAATGAGTGTTCATTTCTAGTTCCCTGATTATATACATTTTTATTTATTTGAAATATTTTACCCCATATTCCTCCTAAGAAAGGAGCCAAGGTGGTATACATCGTTAAAACACAATGTTAAAGGTAAAAAAACACAGTTAATTATTCAAATATTAAATGAATATATTAAGAATGTTAAGTAAAGTAATCCTATAACAGATTTAGAAACAACAAAATGTAAACCATCTAATTTAACATTTTAAATTAGATGCTTTACATTTTCAGTCTGTCACTAAGGAAAAAGCCTGCCCCAAGAGAAGGACAGCAAAAATGGGGACAGCCTGGCCTGGGATGGGGGGCAGTTTCAGCCTCTGAGCAGCAGCAGAAAAGGTCCTTTCCTGCACCCCCACCAAGTGCATCTGTGAGGATGGCGGGAAAGACCTCCCCTGATATCCTTAGCACCTGGGCGGGCTCATAGAGGGAGATGCAGTCTGGACCCAAGCCATTTAGGGCTTTATAGGCTAAAAGCAGCATTTTGAAGCGCCAGCCAGTGGAGCTGTTGGGAACGGGAGGGGGTTATATGCTCCTTGAGATGCAGTCTGGACCCAAGCCATTTAGGGCTTTGTAGGCTAAAAGGAGCATTTTGAAGCACCAGCCAGTGGAGTTGTTGGGAACGGGACGTGGTTAGATGCTCCTTGTGACCAGCCCCATTTAGCAATCTGGCTGCAGAGTTTTGGACCTGCTGAAATTTCTGAACACTTTCCAAAACTGCATCTAGGCTCGCCAGATTTCATCTTTGTTTCTAATCTGGGTCTGGTTTCCATTTAGCTTTCCCCCCGCCCTCATTCAAATCAGTTCGTCGCAAAGTTGCCTGTTATGTAAGGAACGGCACCGCTTGTTACACAAACTTAGGGTAAAACAAGCATGCCTCAGTGTGAAAGAAGGCGAGAATTGTCCGGGAAACAGAAGCAGCCCCCCCGCCCCTCACGCCGAGCTGCCCTTGAAACTCCCGGCTCCTGAGCTGAGTGGCCGCAGCTGGCACACCGCCGAGGGCAAAAACTCAGATCCCTGGCGC